AACTGTGGACTGTTCCATCTCGGATCTTGACGAGTTTGTCGTGGACTGAACAGGGGTCGAAACGGTCGCCAGATGACAAGATCGATCCCGTTTGGATGATTCTGAAGGAAACGGGTTGGTCTGGACTGGGATCTGATGTACCGGAGCGTGTTGCGCATGTTGCCACGTTTGAAATAAGTGATAATATGCCGATACAAGCCGAGTAAACAGGGGACTGGACTCAATAGAGTCTGCCTTAGACACCGGTTCCGGTCGTTTCATGATACTTGCGGCCAGCCTGTAAGCCGTCGTGATGGGTTTCGCGTGGTGCTTCTCGGAATCCGTGACTGCCGAATCCAGACCACCGTTCGGGCGGGACAATGGAACACGTGAATCCTTCGCACTAGCCAAGATGGTTTGTGGATGTTGTCCGGTTTGATGTTGAAATACCTGCCAAGGTGTTGAACATTGCACGGATTCCGATCCTGTTCGCGTGTAAGCTGAATGGTTTGATGCATGACCAAGCAGAGAGGAGAAATGAAACAGAAAATCGATTGGTGAATATCGAGAGTTATTGAATACATAAAGTGAAGCACATAAAATATGATAGTTTGAATTGAACTGTTCAAAATGTGCTCTCGAATTACCCCAATTTTACGTAAGCAAACATGCTAAACATCCGCGCTTTGTTGTTGTTGTGTTGGTGGTGGTGGTGGTTTGCTGATCCACTCCACTGTAGAAAATATTCGATAAACTGTCGGAACCGAATACACACACACAGAGGAAGATTTAATTTCTATCCAGGTCATATTTCCCGGATTCTTGTTTTACGTCACATATCATATCCATATTTAAACAAAACCAGACAAACGAAAATCAAGTTTTTAATCGAACATGCGCCGACTAGCTTTGCATAAAACTGACACTAAAGAGAACAGTTTATTTGCGTAATTGTGTATCGGGATGCAATATGCTCCATTTTGCCACACACGCACACATTATCGTCATTCTCCATTCGGACTGCTCATGACCACAAAATTGTATCCCGATCGGGCAAGCAGCGCACAGACTGTGTGGTGTTATTGAAACAGGGCAATACAGTGTGACGAGCGCCCAGTTCGGATGACGATGGTGTCATGGCTGAACTGGTCGTTTTGTTCAGTGGTGAGACGAGGACGGAGTGCAGTGGTAGTAGTAGTACTAGTAGGGGCCTGAGTCAAATGTTTAATCCGATCTGATGGTAACGATGTCGCCGTCAAATTGCCTTCCCTTCAGGTTGAATGGATTGGAAAGCGGTGGTCTGCTCCATATTCCGTTCACAATTGAACCGGCTGTTTGGAGGCTACTGCTCGTATTCACACGCACACACACACACACACACACACACACACACACACACACACACACAC